TGCTACCACCACCCCCCTCAAGAAAGCACATGGTTGTAAGTTTCTCTTCTTGTTGCTGTTGTCGGCTGCCATCCCTGCAGCCCCCAACTCACGGCAGCTGGCAGCCCCATGCACAACAAAAGGAAGCGCTGTCCAGTCCTGCCCCTACCCCCATCCTCTATGATGGCTCCGCCCATTGTGGCCCGTGGGGATTTCCTTGGCAGGTTTTCAGAGGCACATTTGCCAGGCCTTTCTTCCTGGTCTTCCTTGCTCTAGAGGCACCACTGACCCCGGTCCTCCCCACAGCAGCACGACAGCGTCTGCTGACAGCGGGGTGGTGGTGGCGGCAGCGGCACATGAGAGGCACCGGCTCGGCATCGAGCCTGGGTCTCCTGCATGGAAGGAAGGACTCTCAGCAAATCTGCTTTCTGTTCTGCGCTGGCCCCAGCCACCCCACCCACAGCTGCTTGACCTCTGTACTCAGAGGCCAGACCGTGGAAGTGAGCGCCAAGGACCCTCCATAAGGGCTTTTCCACTGACCGTTGTTTCTCCTCATCTCAGGAGGACTGTTATTCCCCCCACCCCATCCCAACAGGTCTGTCCAGTGTCCACAAAAAGCGTGTCTCAGCTGCTCGACTCCTCAGCCGTCAAAACCTTCAGAGCCCCAAGTCCAGGTAGGAGTACCCGGTTCCCCAGAGTTACTCTGGGTAGCAGAGGCGCCCCCAGCTTCTCGGAGGGAAGCGCAGGTTCCTCTCTCCAACCCTTGTGGGCCCCCCAGGCGTGGTTGGTCAACTCCCTGTGCCGGCAGCTAGCTGAAAGGTTGGCCATTTGAGTCCACCCTGGGGCATCACCCAAGAAAGGCCAGGCAGTCTCTTCCTGAACAGTCAGTCCTGGGAGCACAGTTCTGAGCTGATGCACAGGAGGTGGGGGGGGGGCATGAACTGGGCCCAGCTCAGTGGCCACATCTTGTTGGTTCCGGTATGCAAAGCGGCAGAGAGCTCCCCTTGCTGGTTTGCAGCATCTGGGTTTCTGGAATGTTGCTGGTTTCCCTGGCCTGTTTCGGGGTTTCCCTTTGCCAAGTCTGACCTAGGGGGCATGGACAAGAAGAGACAGTGGAGACTGCAGTGGGGAGAGAGAGAGGTGGAAGGGGTCGTTTTTTTGTTTTGTTTTGTTTTAAAAATCATTTTATTGGGGGCTCTTACAGTCCTATAACAATCCATACATCAACTGGATCAAGCGTGTTTATGCATATATTGCCATCTGCGTTGACTTTCTATTTGAGCCCTTGGTATCGGCTCCTCTGTTTTCGCCTCCCTGACCCCCTCCCACCCTCGTGACCCCTTGATACATTATAAATTATCATTGCTTCCATATCTTAACATGAGAAAGGGATGGTTTTTGACAGTGACGCACACGCGTGGTGAGCTGCTGATGCCCGCTGTGTGTTGGCATCGGAGTGAGAAATCCGCCCGCCCGTGCATCTCCTCCCTGTGGGCAGTTCTGCTGAGGCTGCAGGAAAGGGCACCTCAGACTTGGCTTCAATCCCTCTGGGAAGACAGGAGGGTCGTCGTTGCCTCATGAGACAGCTAACCCCATTCCTTGAAGTCCTGATTGTCAGACATAATCGTAATCCCAAACCAGCTCATTTCCCCCCTAGACCCCCGCCCACCCCAATGCTACTAGTTTCACTGTCTGAAGACAGCCCCGTGCGAGTCTAAGGACCTGCAAAGAGCCCCTCCACGCCTCAGGTCCTCCTGTTGGTTCTTCCTGCGCTCTGCTTTCCAAACCTTTTGCTTTGGGGAGAGGACACACCCCCAGCCGCTGGGAATGTCATTCTCGGTCCCAGCTACAGCGCAGTGGAGCTCAGGTGGCCTCGTCCGAGTGCCCTGGTGCTGAAATCACCATCCCCGGCCTGAACAGGTTGTCCTAAAAGGGTCCCGGGATTGCCGGCGACTTCCTTCTACCAGCCGTTCCAGCCAGGCACCTGAGACGCTCGAGCAGGGTCCAGCAGCCCTGTCTGCCGTGGGCTGCAGCACCAACTCTCTTCCCACCCCGAAGGCCTGTGCCTAGATCCCCATGGGACACAATCTCCATCATTGTTGGCTATGGCCCATGAAGATGTTTTAAGACCTTGGTCCTTGGCATGGGAGGGTTGCGAGAAGCGGGCTCTAGCCTGCCTCTGCCACATACTAGCTCGGATGAGCGGCTTTTGGAGACCGTCAGCCCTAGATGCCTGACCCACAATGGCAAGAAAGGCTGCAAACATTCATGTCAAAGGCCCAGGGTGGCATGAACGGCTAACCAAAAGAGTGGAGGTTCAAGTCCACCCCAGGAGTGCCTCAGAAGAAAGGCCTGGTGATCGGTCCCTGAGAGCAACGGAGCACACACAGTTCTACCCTGATGCAGGCATCACGCATGAGTCAGGGTGGCAACTGGAACTGGAGTCAGGGTGGCAACTGCCCAGCAGGGGGGAAACCCACCTTTTCGCTGCCCGTCTTTGCCCCAGGGCAGGGTCAGCAAACTTTTGAGGCCGAAGAGCCCATTTTGTCCCTCGCAACCATTTAAAAGTTATCCGAGTGCCACGGGTATATGGCTAAAATCAATGAAATCACCATTATCTGAGTAATAGCCTTCAGAAATTGCCGGCTGTACTTCAGAGCCACCTGCACAGACCGAAAGAGCCTTGTATGCCTCCCACGCTCGGGGAAGGGGTGGCCTAAGTAGCATCAGAAGAGAAGGGACCAAGAACCTACTGGAAACTCCTCTCAGCAGCAGACTGTGAAAGACCAGGTGACCAACATGACTCCCCAGCCGAGGACAGCAGCCAGGAAGCCAGGCAGTGCCCTGCTGCCGAGTCAGACCCAAGTCCCAGAACCAACCACGCCCTCTGCCCTCCCTCGGGAAAGGAGAGCTGTCTCAGAGCAGAGCCACCAACTTGTTCCTGGGTGTTTAGCTCTTTAAAAGCACGGTATTGAGGTACTCCCTACTTTGGGGAGCCCTAACACCACTTATGGCTTTATGAGGTTCATGAAAGAGAAGATGCAGGGTGGGGATGGGGGTAGAAAATTGCGTGAACAGGCATAGCATTCTCCCAATTCCTCCTACCGACTCCGAGCAGTTAGGTCCAGGAGGTGAAATCCAAGGCACCTCAAACCACCCCAGCAGACACGTCCTTGCTGGCACTGAGCTCAGTAGCAGGCGGGCAGCCCTCTGACTGACAGGTCACCTTGCACCTGTAAAGACCAAAGTGACCGCTGGTTGGGAAGTCACGTTTCCCAGGGAATCAGAACAATGAGCAAGCAACACAGAAAGAGCCGAGGGGCTGGGTGCAGCTAAGTCGGGCTGAGGCTCCAGATAAGCCTCAGAGGGAAAGGGGGTCTTCAGTCATATCAGTGGTGGGGGGCGGGGCAAGTGGCTAACAGACCCTCTGCAACCCGGAAGCTTGGTGTTGGGAGTCCCCCCAGAAATGCCCCCAGGGCAGCAGGCGCCTGGTGATCCACTTCTGACAGAGCAGCCTATGGAGGACCGCTCCACTCAGGCACCAGGGGGCGCCATGAGTCCGGGCCGGCGCCATGGCCACCTTGGGTCCCCTTCGGCATTAGGCATGGAGAATAGAAGAGGAACATCCAGAGAAAAGGGACAGCAGGATGATGGGGCCTGAGGCCTGGGGTGTTTTGAAGAGGGCTAGGACATTCCAGCAGGGAGTCTAGACAGGGGCAGACCTCTGGGTTCCCATCCCCCCAACCCCTGCTCGCATGGCTTCTCTCCAGTCCTCCCTCCTCAGCCAGGGGCTTCCATTGAGCCAGAAACCCCAGTGCCACCCCCCCACCCCACCCCACCTCTGCACAGGCATGCTCTCAGCTGGCCCTGCCGACTCTGCCATCTAACCACATGGCAGATCCACGACTGCCCCCCACCCCCACCACCCTGCAAAGCCACAGCCCTCTGTAGTCGGGGTGACTCACGGGCCACCTAACGGGTCTCCTTGTCCCTAGGCTCTTCACTCAAAGCGCCATCCATTTTCCACGCCTGAGCGGGAGTTGGCGCTTTAGACTGTAGATTAAAGCGTGTCCCTCACTCCCCAGCATAACAGCCCTTCAGGTGGGCCCCAGGGGACTTACAGAAACCCCAAATCCCCACCCCCTGGCTGATAGGGGCCCTGGCAGCTCTCGGACCACTTGTCCAACCACATGCCCCTGTGCTGGCCACCCTGCAGCCCCTCAAGCCTTCTGGCTCTCCCTTGTGCATGCTGTGCCCATTCCAACCCCAGGGACCCTGGACGGGCTGGTCCCTCTGCCACAGCCCATCACTGCCTCACTGAAGAGCTACTGGTAGTTTTGGGGGGGTGGGGGGAATGCTGGGTCCTTGTTAGCAGGCTGTTCTTTCTTCTTTGATCTGTCATTGGACCACTGTGGAGTGTGTGTGTCCGTCTGTCCGGGCATGCTGCCAGGATTCTAACTGCTGGAGACCCCCGTGGGACAGAGTAGAACTGCTTTACAAGATGGACATGGCTCTTCTAAAAAAAAAAAAAAAAAAGATGGACAAGGCTCATGGACTCCGATGTCTCACGTGTGGGGGCTGCCCTGGGGCAGGGGTACGGAAGGCCAGGTGGCTACTGCAGCCCAGACTGTCCTCTTCCCCCTCCCCCAGGGCTTCCCAGCCTGCCTGTGTGTGCCCTAGGCTTTTTTAAAAAGTGTTCAGAAAATCCTACACTAGAGCTCCGGTTCCCTTGCCTCGTGCCCTAGGGACGGCCCCATCAAGGTGCCCTGGGCTCAGGTGACCATGCCTTCTGGGCGGGGTACCACTGAGCCAGCCTTGCTCCATCAGCAGCTCTGAAAGTCCCCTCCGTTAAGTTAAAAGTCGTTAAAGTGGCTGCAGCGCAGGACTTGGGCCCGCCCTCCACCCCCCGCCCCAGCTCAAGTCCCAGGCAAGCCTCGTCTGCCCCTATCTGCCTTGCCACCTTCTACCACTTGCCAGCAGGACTAAGAGATGTGGCTGCCGGCGAGAGCCAGCTCAGCAAGTTGGAGGCCTCTGCGTCTCTATTTTGCACCCGCTGGAAGCACGGAGGCAAATGGGCTGCAGAGAGAAGCCGGGATGGGAGAAAGTAGGAAAGGCGCCCTCTGGAGAGGCAGAGCGCCCCCAGTGAGGAAGACGCCCCACAGCGCCCCCTGCTGGCGGGCGGCCGGCCTTCGCCACACCCCCGGGCGATGACGTCTTTGCGTCCCGAGAGCGAAGAGACTGAGTGCTCCTAAGACCAGGGGCTGGACAGGGAGAGAGGTGGGATCCCAGAGAGTAAGTCTGCAGCCGCTGTCACCAGCTCCAAAATGTTCCCCTGTGCCGAGAACAGAGGGGCCTTGCTTTAAGAAATTGCTTCACACACACACACACACACACACACACACACACACACACACACACAAAACAAAAGTGCCCTGGCACAACTATTTTTAACCAGCCTGGCTATTTGTGGCACAAAAGGCCTCTCGGCGGTGCCAAAAAAGCTCCTTGAAATAGCAAGTCCCATTGGACTCTGAGTCTTCAGGCGTCGATTTTCATACCGTGGAAAACGGGGGCGCGTCACGTGGGGGCGAGGTTGTCGGGAAACTGACCAGGTTGGCAAGGAAGGGAAAGCAGCGCTGGGAGGCCCGTTCCACTGGGGTGCCCGGGGCACGGTCTGCCCCCGTGTGTTCTATCCGGGACCTGCATAAACTGCAGTCTGTTCGTCTGTCTGAAAACAGACTCCCTCTGTTCCCACAGCTCCCTGGCCTCAGTGACACTCCAACCCAGCAAGGGAGATGACCATTGGGCTAACAGGCTCTCTCCCTGGGCCGTGTGTGTGTGTGTGTGTGTGTGTGTGTGTGTGTGTCCCCGTCCATTTTAGATGGGCAGTTCTGTTTTTCCTGTGTCGGTGGATTTGTGCCTAACAGGAACCTGAGTTTATAATGGTCTCTGTCCCTTCACCATCCGTCTGCGGGCCTGTTTGCACATGGGGTTGGAGCTTAGAAACCCTAGGTGCGATGGAATCCAGCAGACTGGGAGGGCTGCCCGTGGCCTCGGGTCCTCAGAACAAGCCTGTTCCAGCAGCTAGGGAACTCGGGGCATCTGAGGTTCTCCTGTCTTTCGGGAAATGTTCTATGAGCACTTACTTGGTGCTAGGCATGGGTCTGGGCATCAGGAACAGAGCAGTGGGCCAAAGAAGGACAAATCCCCTGCCTCCTGGAACTTCACTTCTCCCCCGCGGCCACCCATAGTGTGGGTCCGAGGATAGGGAGCATGTGGAGAGAAGCCAAGCAGGGGCAGGACTAGAGAAAACTGATCTCTGGGAGATCAGTAGGATTGCCCCAACATCCAGAGTTTGGAGAGAGAAGGAACCAGCCAAGGAGTAGCTGAGAGCTGGCGGGGAAAGCCCGGGGTGCAAGAAGCAGAGAGAAAGGCAGTGGAGAGGGGGCATGGACAGCGATGCCCAGTGTTGCCTGGGCGGTGGAGTTGGCCACTGGGAAGGCTTTGGGGAGAGCAGCTTATGGGTGACTGTGGTCAGAGCCGTGGCGCAGAATCAAGGGCAGAAGCCTGGTGGGTGTGGGCCCCCAGGAGCAGGGAAGGAGGGGCATTGGGCCAGTGAGGACGGGTAGCGGTTGGCCCTGGCCCATTTTCCCCTGGCCTTTCCCTTTAGCCGATCCACCATCTTCGTACGGCTCCACACCAATGGGAACCAGGAGCTGCAGTACCAGCCCGGGGACCACCTGGGCATCTTCCCCGGCAACCATGAGGACCTGGTGAACGCCCTGATCGAGCGGCTGACGGACGCACCCCCGGCCAACCAGCTGGTGAAGGTGGAGCTGCTGGAGGAACGGAATACAGCTTTGGGTATGTCCTGGGGGGCACCTTTCCCTTCTCCTGTGAGAAGTCCGGGGAAGAGGGGACCCGTTCTTCCCAGTTCTTAGTCCCAGGTGGAGTGGGTTTCTGTCACCCCAGCTTGTGAATTTGAAGACACGCCCCTTCTCGTGGCTGAACAACCTTGACACAACTGGCCAAGGGAAGGCCGGTGACTGGTTAGTCAGCTAGAAGTTGGCTTCAGCAGCTGCTAATTTCCTACTTCCTTCCTCGCCCCTGCCACCCAATCCCACCCCTCCCCTGAATCAAAAAATGCCCTCTGGACCTCGTGGGACTGGACCCACCCTTTACCCACATGAAGGCAAGTCTCAACCTGCTCAAGAGCAGCCATCCCTGCTTCGTTAGATCAGGTTGACCAGAGAAACAAATCCAGGGAGACTCATAATATGAATAGGAAAGAGCTTTATATCATAGACTAATTATACAGTAAGGAAACATCCCAGCCCTGTCCAGATCAAGTCCATATGTCCAATATTAGCCCATAAGTCTGATATTAGCCCTCTTCAGACTCACGCAGCCCATGCAATGATGCCCAATGCAGGAAGATCACAGGCCAGTGGGTGGAAAGTCCTGTGGGTCCAGTGGCAGTGGAAGCATCTCCAGGGCTCTGGCTGCCATCAGCGTGGCTCCATCCAAACTGTCAACAGGAAGGTGAAGCAGAGAGAGAGTGTGTCCTGCCTCCAGGGAGGAAGAGAGGAAACTCCCAGAACGCTCATGAGAAGACTCCGCCCATAAGGAGGCATCAATCGGGCTGCGACCTGATTGACAGACTAGACTCCACCCTAATCTAGATAACCTAGTTATCAAGTTGACACGAAATTATGTAACTACCACACCTGCCTTTGACTCTGAGGTGGTCTCAGAGGCCAGTGCTCAATGTTTCATCTCAGCCAGCCCTGAGGGCTCAGGGCTGGGGCCGGGGGAGTGGGAGCGCGGGGTGAAGCAGTGCCATGGTGACGTGTCGTCAGGGCAGACTGTGACATCTGCCACCAGGCCCCACTGGTAGTGAGGCACCCCACACAGAGATGCACCCCTCCCTCGGTGATTTCAGACCAGCCGGTTTCCCGCCAGTGCGGGAATTGAGCGTGCCTGCTCCAGCGGTGCACGCAGGATCTGCGTGGCTTCGGGCAAGTGCCTGAAGCGCTCTGTGCTGCTGTGTTTGTCCTCTGTAACACGAGGGTGCAAATGCCACCTGCCACCCAGGGGTTGCCGTGACTCGGAGCGAGTGAAGAATAAGGGGTGCTGATCAAGCCCTGGGATCATGGGAAACGCTGGGTGCACGCTGGAGGCCCCGGGTGGGGCGACTGCCCCCTCCCCTCCGGAAGCACCTCAGAAGGCAGGCCTGGCAATCTGCTTCTGAAGGTGGCCACCCGGAGAGCCCCACGGAGCAGTTCTCCCTACCCATGGGGCTGCCAGGGGTTGGCATCCACTGGGTGGAGAAGTGTGAGGTGTGTTAGTCACGTTCAGCCTTGGGAATCACTCCCCCCCACCCAGTGTCTCCAGTGCACAGGCAGAATCAAAGTTGCCCCCCCCTCCCGCCTCATCTCCTTGGGGCTCACTGGCGTGGGGTGCCAGTGGGCATACCCTCTTGCTGCTGTGCGGTTATCTTCCTTCTCCTTCAATGTTGCAGTCTGGGGCCAGTCGACCTAATACCGTGGGCACACATGGTCCCTGGAACCTGGCTGTAGGCACAGGAAGCAGGTCGGCTCTGGGGGTGTGGACACCAGCCTCGGCAGAGCCAGTGTGGAGCTGGCTTGATGCTGGGCTTCACAAGCCCACTGGGTGCCTGGGAGCAGGCTAGGCTCGCCCTCCTGCAGCCAGGCCCTGGGAGCTCAGCCTTGCCTTCCCCGGGCCCTGGATCTACCGGGCTCCACAGGTGTCATCAGCAACTGGACGGACGAGCTCCGCCTCCCGCCCTGCACCGTCTTCCAGGCCTTCAAGCACTACCTGGACATCACCACGCCGCCAACGCCCCTGCAGCTGCAGCAGTTTGCCTCCCTGGCCACCAGTGAGGAGGAGAAGCAGCGCCTCATGGTCCTGAGCAAGGTGGGACCCTGGGCCCGGCCAGCCTGAGTTAAAAAAATAGTTGTGTAATGGCCACCGAGTGGCCTCCGATGCACGATGACCTGTGTGTATCCGAGTGGAACTGCATGCCCCGCAGAGGGTTTTCTGTGACTGCGACCTTTCGGAAGCCAGTCACCGGGCCTCTCTTTTGAGGTGCTTCTAGGTGGATTCAAACCACCCACCTTCCAGTGAGTGGCTGTGCACTTAGCCATTTGTACCACCCGGAACTCTTCTGTACCACACTGGTGGGTGCCTTTTCCAACTCGGTCTCAGGAGAGCTGTCTAGTGGGTACAGCAGTTCTCCAGTAGAGGACGGTCGGGAGGAAATGGTGTCGTTTTCAAATTTGGGAGACCAGCACCGTTTGGGAAAGCTGATTTCGTTTAGCGTAGACCATCGCCCTTTATTCTGAGACCCAAGCGGAAAACCCCCCTTGAGTCTTGGACTTGTCTGATCATCGTAGAAACTGCTGTCCTAACTCTTTTTTTCCCCCCTCCCTTCCTTTGTAACGCTAGATCTTTCATAAATCCCACCTTGGCTCAGGCTTAGAGAAAGGAGGACCCCCACAGTGCCCTGGTTTGAATGCGGGGGTCCTTTCTGATCCAAAGGGCCTGTAGCCTAGACTGTTTGATACAGGAAGTCTCAGCTGCTACTGCCCTTGCTTAGAAACCGAGGGTTCACCTGCCCAAGCTGCAGCAAAACTAACACACGTGCACAGGAGGAGCATGCAGGCTTCTCCCAGTGGGAGCCTCTTCCCAGCCTGCATGCACCTGACAGAGCTTTCTCCTGCTTGCCAGAGGGATTGGAATGGCCGGCAGCAAGCAAGAGGCCAACACACTGAGTGCGTGTTATTTAGAAGCGTGAATGTGAACCCCAGAAGAACCACGCTTAAGAGTGGCGCGTGTCTGAGCCCTAGTTGGGGGGGAAAAGTACCAGGAGTGGGGTTCTAGCTCTCCTCTGCCCCTCTGCTTGGCCCAGGGTTTGCAGGAGTACGAGGAATGGAAATGGGGCAAGAACCCCACTATCGTGGAGGTGCTGGAGGAGTTCCCGTCCATCCAGATGCCCGCCACCCTGCTCCTGACCCAGCTGTCCCTGCTGCAGCCGCGCTACTACTCCATCAGCTCCTCCCCAGACATGTACCCCGGCGAGGTGCACCTCACTGTGGCCATCGTCTCCTACTGCACCCGAGGTGGGTAGGCAGACGCCCTCCTGGGGGAGCCTCCTGGTCTGCACTGCCTCCACTCCCCACTCCCCAAAGGACCTCTGCAGGGCCTCGGAAACCACTGCCCACCGCCCAAGGGCCAGAGCCCTGGGAGGGGATCCAAAGCTGGGAAACGCAGGGAAGAAGCCCATCAGGAGCGCTGGCCCCGGAGGCAGAGCCAGTGCTGTGTAGAATCCAGAAGGAGACCAGGTGTGCCGTCAGAAGGCTCAGCCTCAGCCAGTGCCTTAGATCCCCCCCTTAGACGCTCCGCATCCCTGAAAGCCCCGACCAAGGCACAGCTGCAGCATGTCACCATGCCTGCCCCTTCAGGGGCCCTCTCTGCCGCAAGCCATCACACTGGCGGTGGTCATTCGGATAACCGAGCTCCATTCCAGCACCCCCCTCCCTGACAAAGCAGTTCAAATGTGGGTCCCAGCATTTCCCCGAGACCACATTGAACAAGACCTTCTCACTGGCCAGATTGGAGTCCACCCTTTTCCCACCCCGGCAGGGCCCCGGTTCACTCCCAGCGACACACTGCGCCCCAGTGAGACCTTTCAAAGCAAGGGCTGCAGGCAGAGAGTTGGCGGTGGCCTTGGGAGTTTTGTGTGTTGGAAGGAGAAAGTGGGGTGGGGGTGGGGGCGGGGAGCTTGGAGACAGTAGACAGACCGGACCTAACCAGACCAGACTACCTTGGTTGTTTTGCTAGATGGAGAAGGACCGATTCACCACGGCGTGTGTTCCTCCTGGCTCAACCGGATACCAGCTGACGAGGTGGTCCCCTGCTTTGTACGAGGGTAAGTGACACATGATGGGAAAGGAGCGGTTGTCCCCCCACTGCGCGCCCTGACCCTGTGAGTCGGGGCTGGTGGAGCAGTCGGAAGCCTCGGTCCAGCGCTCGTAGAAATGGGTGGATGGGTCAGAGGGATGGAGGCCAACATCCTGCCTCATTCACTCACTTAAGGAAGTGGGATCACGGACCGTGAGAAGCTAAGGAAGTCTTCTCGTCAAAGCACCCAAGGCTACAAATATGTATCAAGTGTGTGTGTGTATATGGTGCCGGATACCGAGGTACAGTAGTGTGTATGTGTGTGCATGTTTGGTGGTCCGGATACCGAGGTACAGTGGTGTGTACATGCGTGTGTGTGTGTGTGTGTGTGTGTGTGTGTGTGTGTGTTCAGTGGTGCAGGATACCGAGGTACAGTAGTGTGTATGTGTGTGCATGTTCGGTGGTCCGGATACCAAGGTACAGTGGTGTGTACATGCGTGTGTGTGTGTGTTCAGTGGTCCAGATACCGAGGTACAGTACAGTTTGTGAGTGTGCATGTGTGAATGTGTGTGTGTGTGTGTTTGTGTGTGTTTGTGTTTGTGTTCAGTAGTGCAGGATACCGAGGTACAGTAGTGTGTGTGTGTGTTCGGTGGTACCAGATACGAGGTACCGTGGAGAAGCCCGGGTGGCACAGTAATCCAGGCTCGGCTGCTCACTAAGAGGTTGGTGGTCCACCCCACCAGCCTCTCCCCGGGGCAGTTTTTCCTCTGTCCCATGGGCCCCATGGCTCGGAGTTGACTTGATGGCTTGGGTGACCGGTGCTACAGTGGAGAGCCAGGCAAACACACACTTGGTCTGCATGGCAGTTAAAGACCTGTGGAAATCCCAGCCAGATTCCATGGCCACCCCCAGTTTGTTAGAGAGGTGAAAGGCCTGAGCAGCCCCCTCCACTGGAACGTTGTGCCCCAAACCCGGCCCCCAGGGCATGTCTGAGCTCAGGCCCACGAAACCCGCACTCCTTGTCAGCCAGTCTGAACAGTGGCCTCCTGGTTCTCAGCTGTGGAAGTCAGGGTGCTTACAGTCTAGCTCAAGTACTGGTGACATCGGCATCACTCATGAGCCTTCTTCCCAAGCACAGAGTCCTGAGCCCACACATGCCCCATGGGCCACAAGTCTGCAACGTTGGAACCCCCCACCCCCTCCCCTTTGCACCTGGGTCACCCCTGTGCACACTGACGCTCAATACGATGAATTCGGTGTTTCTCAACTGGGAGTGGTGTAGCCTTCAAACCAGCACTCCTTGGCAATGTCAGGGGTTGCTC